TTTATATTTAAAGAATTTTAATTAATTATACTTAAATTTTTAAAATTTTATTTATTGTAATTAAATATTAATTAATTATATATAAAAACTTTATATTGTAATATTAATTGACGAAAAATGAGGATCCTCACAAGAATCCCTATTCTCCATGGAAAATAGGGATGGGGGCAAAATTTACCCTCCATAAAAAATCCCCGTGGGGATCTTGTCGACAAGAACAAAAATAGGGAGGGTAGAATACTCAAATTCACCCTTAAAGTATAATGGTAGAAACGGATTCACCCACAAACAAAAAATAGGGACAAATCTACTCACAAAGTTTTCGACTTTGATAAATCATCTCAAATTTAACGTATTACGTCATCTGATATCAACAATATGTTAATTTAACGTTATCTAACGTCAGCAATCCATTAATTCATTAACGGATTGCTGATCATTAACGAATTGCTGATATTAGATGATGTCACAGATTAAATTTGAAGTGATTTATTTAAATTGAAAATTTTATGGGTGGATTTGTTCCCGTTTTTTATTTGGAGTTGAATCCATCTCTGCAATTATACTTTGAGGGTGAATTTGAGTATTTTGCCAATAGGGAGGGACTCCCCAACCCCTCGGACCCATTACCATCCCTAGGTTTGGCAAGTGCTTCTATTAGCATCACCTCTGCAGAGAAACAGGCCATAGATTCCTTTCAAAGAATCATTGTAGAAGGAGTAGACGGAAGATTTGGAGGACAAAGAATTCATCAGGGATTGAACGTATGATTGATGCATTCCTCCGGTATCAATTCATGTAAACATTTGTGAAGATGCCAGGATGACTGGCAAGTGATGTATCCGAAATTTAACAAAAAGATTGGGATTAAAAAACAGAAGAAAAGATCTAATTTTTTTTATCTTAATTAAACAGTGCAAAGCAATCACTTCTCATCTTTTACCTCACCTCACTCACATGTCATGTGATTCGAATTCAAAATTTTTTACTTTTAACAGAAAGAGATAATCACTAAATTATTATGAAAATGTTAAAATTTCTAAAAAAGAGAGATCATCATTTCCGTGATACAATGGAAAAAGGTCCAATGGTACTGAAGATATGAATTACCGAGATGTTTGTTCTTTTGTACTCCGATAATTGAGAAGCTTAAGACGAAGACTAATTCAGAGCAATGGTGACCACG